AGTTTTGGTACAAAATGTGTTTGTAAATCCCAGCGGAAAAGAATAACCATGACACAACTCCAAAAAAACCAAGTGTCTTTGTTTTACAGTTGAGTAAATCTAATCATTATTCCTTTTCTTGCAGGCCAAACAGTGGACCACCAGGCCCTGCTGAAACAGTTTGAGCACCTGAACCACAAGAATCCACACACTTTCGAGGTGGATGACCTGGACCGTCTCATCAAATCGGTACACATACACCTAGTCATTAGCGCAACTACTTGAAGGTTAATACTGACCCTGTTTCTCTGCACTGGTATGGCACAGTCACATTTATAATGACAGTTGCTCATGCAGAAATATTGCCATACTTAGCATAGCGTATAGGGAATTTCAGTGAGGGATGTTTAACTAGTCTGGCTTTTTTTTTAAATTTTAGATGTAATAAGTTGGAGGCATTCACAAGCTTTGTTCCCTTTGTTGGAGAGTGCTGACTCATTAGAGGTAAATGTGTAAGTTTTGCGAGACCAACATGTTTCCTGTGTGTGAAATGAGTATAAAAGAATATTAATGGGGAGGTCGGTTTAATGAGTTTGCATGCCTCTGTAGTTTTACAACAAAGCTTCCAGTCATGCAGATGTAAATCCTAAAAATATTTTATTTAAGTTTTACTTTTCTGTAGCATTTAGCTTTGCTCTATAATCATTCACCTACTATTTTGCCTTGGCACTGCTTGAGAAATGCAAAGAATGGTGATAAATGAGCATTTGCTTTGTTTTGTATTACCATAGCATTTTCATACACTTTATGCTGAGCAAGTCCTTGCAGGGTTCTAGAATAAAGAGCCACCCAGAGGTTCTAATAAAATCAGGCCAAAATAATAATTTTAAACTCACAGATCCAGATTTTGAACTATGACAACAGTGCATTTATAGTACTCAGCAAAAGGTACAGTCACTATCAGAAATCCATCCATCCCTACATCCATATATCCATACATCCCTTTTCTTCCACTTATTCATGGTTTTGAGGGGCTGAAGCATACCACAGTTGTCATAAGGAGAGCGATAGGGTCCACCTTGAACAGGTTGCCAGTCTGTTGGCTAACACATAGTAAACAAAGAGGTACCGGGAGAACTTCAAACAGAAACACCCTCATGCTGTGAGGTGGCAGTGCTAATGTGGGGCATTGTCTGTTATTAAGCCCTACCAATACAAAGAGCTTTTAGATTCTAGATACACACACCAGAATACTTTTGCAATCAAACAATTTGTCCAAATTTGTTTTTTTATAAATCAACTTATTGTTACTGCAGCTCTGAGGTTTAGGAGGTCAGAGGTACTGTTTATTCATACCCAGTTAGCACTCACTAGTATTCACTAGTAAGCATGCTAGCACTAAATGGATGAATAAATTTCACCGCATGAGCTAAACACAAAAAGCATGCTATATCTGCCTGGGTTGTCTCTGCATTCAATGCTGAGTGATGCTAAGACTGTGACATGGCTAGTAATTATTCAGCTCAACAGTTTGCTTCATCCTCTATGGAACAACTCTGATCAGGCATCTGGATGTTGAATAGAGTCCATCTGTTTCAACGAGGTGCATAAATCTGCAGAATTAAGAGGTGAATTCCCCTTCCCAACTTTTTGTTTTTACGTCTAGGCGACTAATGACCTGGAGAACTTTGACAAGGACCGCCATGATGAGTTCAAGCAATACGAGATGATGAAAGAGCATGAGCGACGGCAACGCCTGAAGAACTTGAATGAGGAGGATCGCAAGAAGGAAGAGGAACACTACGAGGAAATGAAGAAGAAACACGCCAACCACCCTAAAGTCAACCACCCTGTAAGACGCCAGCTATAAAGCAGTTCATTACGAATGCTAAAATTATAGCCCATGCGGGGGAACAAATGACATTTAAGCTGAATGATATTATTTGGAAAACATGAATGATTTTTTTAAATGATAAGATTAACTAATTTAGTTGGGCCAATTGTATTTAGATTTATATGCAAGCGATAGAATAAAGATGCTAAATAGTGCTAAATACAAAACAAGAAAAAGGAGAAACCTTGTTGTGTACCTCTGTGTGTGCAGGGCAGTGAGGACCAGCTAAAAGAGGTGTGGCAGGAGGCAGATGGTTTAGACCCAGAAGATTTTGATCCAAAAACCTTCTTCAAAATGCACGGTAACCATAGACCATACACTGAAGGTCCTTTAAGAGCAAAGAATGAATATAGCATTCAGATGTTGTCTTATTTGCTAGTGTGCCAAAACTATGGATGGTTAAAATGAGACACAGATTTCCGTTGTTTGTTTTGTGTTGCAGACAGCAACGGAGACGGCTTCTTTGATGAGAGTGAGCTTGAAGCTCTCTTTACTAAAGAGGTATATGTTTTATGTCTAACTCTGGTTCTGCATAGTCTGGGATAATGTAATCTGCAAATGAACAAGTCTCTGAGGTAAACTTTGTGCATTTCATTAAGCTGGAGAAGGTTTACAACCCAGAAAATGAAGAGGATGACATGGTTGAGATGGAGGAAGAGAGACTGCGAATGAGAGAGCATGTTATGAACGAGGTGAGCCACCACAAAACCATAAAATGTACAGATCATTGTCATGTTTATTAGCATTTCTAAAGTATGGATTAGTATGTTATGAAGGCATTTGCTGTTGTCAGAATACAATCATAATGTATAATTCATAACAAACGTGTGGCATTGCTGCCTGAAATCTAATGAATGAATTTAAACATCTGTGTGTGGAGTAGCTATTTTAGCAAGGAGCTAAAGGTCAGGGCCTTTGGGACGTATCTGGTGAGTGATTTATCTCGATGACAGTTGTTGATCAAAATTGCTGTATTGACATTCAGGTGGACACCAATAAAGACAGGCTTGTATCACTGAGCGAGTTCATGGCAGCCACAAAGAAGGAAGAGTTCTATGAAAAAGACGAATGGGAGGTAAGAGCTAGTAAGGTTTGGCTTCCCTCCTGGCATTTTTGTGTACAGAGTAGTATTAAAAATTAATGTGAACCCAATGTTATGTTAGTGTATTAAAATTCAATTCAATTATTCATCAATATGAGCTATGAAACTATGAGCTTAGACTTGCGTAAGTGCAACACAATAAACAGCTGTTTTCAGAAATTGCCTACAAAGGGTGAGACTCCAAATCATTAAACTCCCCAAGAGATTTAACAGCTGATATTATATCATGAAATCAGAAATGTATATGATTTCTTATCACATCATTTATTTATGCGCCCTCTGCAGACTTTAGATCAGAACCCATTGTACACCGAAGAGGAGCTGAGAGAGTTTGAACAGCAACTGGCCAATGAGGAGAATGACATCAACAAGAAGTCAGCTGAGCTGCAGAAACAGAGAGAGGAACTTGAAAGGAAACAGGAAGAACTTGATGGTCAGAAGCTGGGGCTGAAACAGGTGAATTATCTGTCAACTATCCATAGCAGATGAAATACAATCTGAAATTAGGATTTTTCTATACAGTTGCTTGACCCTTTCTACAGATGTAAGAATCTGGCTTACAGTGTGAAACGTGTACGGCCTTGCTGAATTGCACTTAAATCTTGTTTTAGAGACTTGTAGAACTGAAACATGCAGGCAATAGCAAACAAAGTCTTAAACCATTTTTATGGTCTTAACATTTTTTTTGTCCTTCTCTCGCTGCTCAGGCAATGGAAGAAATGGAAAGGGTTAAATCCCAAAGCTTAAATGCTGATGTAAAACGTGAGTATGAAATTTATGATAAATAATGCTGGAAACAACAAATCACATGATGTTAAAGGTCTCTTAATTGCACTCTACTTCCATTTTAACATTTTTTAAAATCAAGTGAAAATTAACCACCCAGTCGAAAGCCTGCATCCAGATCCACAGAACAGTCAAAACAAGTTATTTACTTGTGCATCCCCAATCAAAGTACACTTAAAAAGATGCAGTGAGGGAAAAGCATTGTTATCCTTTTTAATAAGACAAGATTAAAAGCTTTTTATCATATCCTAATAATCATTTAAATACATCTCATGATTGTATGCACATATGAATCTTTGTTACAGAGCCTGCAGCTCCTCTAACTGCAGGTGAACATGCACCAGTTGTACCAGGAAACAGTCAGCCACCTCCGCCTGGTCACCAGCAGCAAGATGTACCCGTGCCTGGACATTCTTAGCAGGCCTCGCCACCCTGTGTGCGATATGAGTGAGCATGCAAGTGTGCTTGTGTTTTCATGATTTCAATTTTGGGTTATTGTTTAGAATTTTCAAAACACACAGCAACACATAGGTGGGGAAAAAGATCTCTTAGTGCCAATGATGCCCTTCCTTCTGCTGGTTAAATCAACTGAATGAGCCAGCCTGGAAATGTGGAGCTGCTCCAGTTTTCTGTGTGGACAATCAACCCTTTTGTTTTTGTTTTTTTAATCTTGTATCACAAAAGGACTCTGTTCTCTATTGGAAGTTCTTTGGGGTGAAATGGGGAGGGCAGCTGGCCTGATAACTGAATGTTTAGTTTTGTTCACACTGTAGTTTCACTGCCACTTTTTCCTTAAGGAAATCCTTTCAAAATATTATTTATTTTTATGGTAAATTGTGAATTATTTTGGAAAAAATAAATGCCAGAAAAGTAAGATTAGAGCCGAAATGAAGTTTTATAGAAAAAGTGTTTCCTTCAATGTCTTTTCAAGCTGTTGTGACCTCTGGATCAGATTAGTGCAGAATAAGAGATGAAGTTAAATATATACAATATGTATTTAAATGTTATAATTTTTAATAATTGTGTTTGTGATTGTGGCAATTGTATGAATTATGAAGTGGTTGCCTGGATGTCAGTACTCAGGAGTGTCTGTGAATTTGTGTTTATTTATTCTCGGACCACTGTAAATGAAATGAATGCAGTAGGTTGAAATTTGCCTTGTAAAAATCAGAATTAAACTCCAGAAGGAAGCACAAGGTAAAAAACAAAAACTTATTTTTTTTCACTACAGACTAATAGCAAAGCAAAGATGGACACAAAATACTTTGAAGAGTTGAAGTCAAATACACTGGTTACTTTATTTTCAAACAACAACCTCTCTGCAACCTGGTATATGTGCTGAACAGTTTATGTTTATTTGACTTTTTAAAAAAGTACTTAAATGTCCAACCAATGTCCTGTGAAAAAAAAAATCATGAAAATTATGTACAAGGTTTGAATGTCTAAAATTAAGGTGAATGAGCTTGCAGATACAATGTTTCTGTCTCTTATTTTCATCACAAACCTCAAGTTCAACTCATCTTATGAACACAGTCACAAGTTAACATTCAGTTTTATAATTACTGTAGAATCTGAAGTGACATAATCATACTTCTGACAATAACTCACTGAACATGATTTAAAAAAAAAAAAAAAACTTTCTTAATCAAATGGTCAGAATGGTGAGTTCAAATTTAGCTTCTTCCATATGATTCACTGAATCGCTCAGTGAGATAGGCGCCTGCTGTAACTGGTGGATATTTGTTGGAGCCATCACAGCAGGTGATCAGAGCCTCGTCATCCGGCTGGACAAAGTAAGCCAGAGACTGCCGTGTGCTGGAGTCTCCGACAGGGGGCAGCAAAACCCTGTGGAGCTAAGAAACAACAATCAACACTAAACTATAATCCTAATGCCATGGCATATGCAAAAACTTTTTTGGGAAGCATTTTAACTCTGTTGGCTTCAAAAAAGATCATGGGTCACAAAAACATATCTAGAGTTAAAGTAGGTGAAACCTTTCTTATTTCCTATAAATGACCCAATCTGACATAGGTAGTCGCATTTACTTTTCTATTTACAGTGCATTTTCATAACCTTGTCATAAAACTTTGTGGCGAAAATATCCCCTTCACTCACCACAGAGACGAACTGATCGCTCGTCCAGCGCTGCATCAGGTCAGCGATATTGATGAGGATGGCTCCGGGGATACAGGGAACAGGGATGAATTCACCTGAGCGTGTACGCACCTGACGGTCAAAAAGTGTCAGGAGGATAACAGGATTATTTGATGCTTTGCTTGACTTTAACACATAATGTGTTACTAACTAAGCAAAACACATGACTGACAATTGAAGAAACAGTGATGACAGCTGTTTAAAGTGGCACACCACAGGAATTCCAGCTTAAGTGAGTTTGTAAATTAATCAGACCTGTTTTCAGTATGTTACCAAGCAACTTATGTGCTTGTGTGTCCCAGTGGTACAGGTGGATATAAGGTCTTACCTGCAGACCTTCTGAGCTCTGGAACAGCAGAGTAATGCTGCCATAGTCTGAATGCTCTCCACATCGCAGCTGGCCCTCCTTTGCTTTCTCACAATTCACTGGTGGGTAGTAGAGAGATCGCATCGTAGTGCCATTTTTGTCAGCTAGAGGAGACACAGCAGTGTTGTCAATGCAGTGTATCTCTTGTTTGTTTGTACCAATTTATGGACCAATCTTCCAAAACCGTAATCTGGTTTGCCTTGAGGTTACACTTTACAAAAAAGAAAGATTAGATTTTCAGTCATTTCCCTTGTTTGTTACTCGTATTTACATGTGTCTTGTATTTATATTCATTTTTCTTTTATTTTGTGCTGTACTTTTATGTTATTTTTTAATTTAGGAGAAGAGCTATATAAAGTACTAAGTGAATATAATATATAGTACATAAATTAAGCTAACATGTCTTGGTTGAACATTTTGCCCTTATTATTCTTCCTAATTTTGTAGAATTAGATACTGCCAGTTTGTGTGTGTGTGTGTGTGTGTGAATAAAACCTTCTCACAAGGTTCATACGATCTGGGATCAGTGACCGCCCCTCATGACATGTAGCTTGAACACTTAGTAAAACTGATCCTATGTCACTGTATGCTGGGTACAGTGTATGGGGTAAACATACTTCCTATTAAACGGTGTGCACGCAAGAAGACTTCTGGGTCGAGTCCCAGACTGTGGGCCATCACCCTCAACAACCGAAGACTCAGCTCTTTGCAGCGCAGAAAAAAGGATGTCTGGAACTCCTGAAAACTTTCCAAACTGCCTGACAATGGCCATTTCTACAACAGAAATCAACACAACCACATCAGAGTCTGTCTAATGATAATACTGATATTGATATCTTAAAGTACCCATAGTATGCTCATTGACCTACATATAGTTTCAGTGGTATAATAGGATAGGTTTATGCTTTAATGTTCAATACATAAAAAAATTTGTTATCCTGTTATCCTGGACTTTACTGAACCAGCTTGTGTTGTTTTGTTATAATGTGTATTTAATGTAGAGAATGAGTCTGTAACCTTGCTGGTACTATTAAAAGTACATAGCAGCTGAAAACGGATTCCAATTCCGATGGCTTGTTTGTATTACTCTCAATGGGGTGTGTTTGTGTCACTATTTTAATGTTTGTTTTGCTGTCAAATAACAAAAAATGAAATATGTAAAAAGAACAAGTTTATCTGGAATTTTGTGATATTAAGATGCAGGACATGTCAGTGACATGATGTGGATTTTGGCTTTTAACTTCAAAATCCAAGAAACAAGAAGAAACAAGGACAGGGAAACAAGGGCCCAGATCCTGTAGCTGCAAAACAAGCCCAATTTATCACCTGTCCACCAGTGTGCTTGAGAGTTAGGATGAGGTATATGTGCTAATATGCTGTTTTTGGTCCCTGATAAACAAGGTGCTGTACACTGTAGCCAAACATCTCCACTTTGCTCACATTTGTCCAAAGAAGAGATTGAGGAGTCTTGGACAGAAGAGTCTTTGTGCCGGCAACCCTTATGAACAAGAAGCCATATTTGTTCAGTCTTTTCCTAACTGGAACTTCATGAACATTAACATTTAACTTCCAACTGAGGCCTATGGAGATGTAACTTTATTTCACTAAGAACTGCATGCTCTGACCTTGGAGTGAACTTGTAGGAAGTCCATTCCAGGGATGACTGTGTAATTGTGTTAAGATTATGGAATTGCCTCTGGAGAAGGTCTCCCCCAGATCAGCAAACTGCCAAAACCTCTGCTCATATAGTTGGTTACACTTGCTGATTATCAGCTAATTATGTGCATTTGATGCAATCAAGTGTATTCAATAAGCAGCACCCCTGCTGCTACTTGC